TCTTCCGTTGAAATTCAGTTCAGTTCAGTTCAGTTCAGATCTTAATTTACGTCTAATGATATTGCTAATGATATAAAGCCAAATTTCATTCGTTTAAGCTCTTATTACAACGACGAAGACGACGACAACAACAACAACAACAACAACAACAACAACAACAACAACAATAATAATAATAATGATAATAATAATAATAATAATAATAATAATAATAATAATAATATTAATAATAATAATAATATTAACAATAATAATAATAATATTAACAATTATAATAATAATAATAATAATAATAATAATAATAATCAATAAGTAATAAATAATAAATAATAATAATAATAATCATCAATAAATAATAATAATAATAATAATAATAACAATAATAATTGAAATAATAATACTAATAATAATAATCAATAAATAATAATAATAATCATCAATAAATAATAATAATAATAACAATAATAATAATAATAATACTAATAATAATCAATAAATAATAATAATAATAATAATAATAATAACAATAATAATAATAATACTAATAATAATCAATAAATAATAATAATAATCAATAATAATAATCAATAATTAATAATAATAATAATATTATTATTATTATTATTAATAATATGTACATTTGTATATACACATATGTATAGTAATAAATAATCAATAAATAATCAAAGATCACTAATCCGTAGTTAAAAATCACTAATTGATAAGTTCAGTTCAGTTCAGCTCAGTTCAGTTCAGTTCAGTTCAGCTGAGTTCAGTTAATCGGAACAGGCCCTAAATAGTAGCTATGCGCCAATACTTATCCCAAAATTAGACCTAAGTCGGAATTGGAAAATTAGAATGGACCTACTGTCTAGTACTAGAATCTAAAAGAAATCACTTTACTTATCAATTTAGGTGGGTACCTACAAGTATCCAAGAAAAAATTCTTTAGCATAGAAGACTGAAAAATAAATGAATTAATCAATAATTAACCAATTATAATCCACGCACATTGAACCAAAAAGCTACAATCTCCTCTTTATATATCACCCTTTGTACACTCCCCATATCCACACCCCAAAAACAGAAGGAAATAATAAACACACTTGTTTTTTCTATTAATACAAAAGTTCATTTTTTCTCCTTTGTTCTACTTAGTAGAGAAGGAGAATCAATGAACTTTGTTACCTTACAATCATCAATGAAGTTGAGCAAATGTTTATGCATTCCCATTCCGATGGTGGAAGGCGGCCGTGTTGGCAAAAGCGAAGGCGGCTGGCGGGAGATGGTTGTATTGTATATAACAAGTGACAAATGATGGTAGAAATGTCCAAAAAATTTTACTACTACTACTTCAAAAAGACTTTGCAACTGCGCTCTCCCGAGTTTCTAGCCCTTTTTTTGGGGCAGAATTGGGAGAGCGCCAATGTTGCATCGTGGGGAATTGAGGGTAGCGGTCCGATTGTTACTTTTATTTAATTTTTACTATTTTTTATAAATTAAAACTCGTTGAAACTCTTATTATTACCTTTTTGCCCTTATTTTGATAAAAGTAAGTGGAAAAATCATGTAATTGTTTGTGAGTTACGGGGATGTAAGAGATGCATTCTAGGGTATTTTAGGAAATTTTCTTGTTTTTTTTGGGTGTTTGATGATTTTGGGTATCTAAAGTTCTTTCTACTGGGAATGCATCACTTACACCTTCATCCAACATTATTACTCATATAAGTGCTGTATTATTGTTATGTTTTAATAAATGGTATTGTTTGCTTCTATCTATTTCTTATTCGAGCCGAACCCATCTCTTTGGGAATAAGGCTAACCGGCTAAGACTTTGTTATTGTTGTTGTATCTATTTAGTTATCATACATATAACTAGTGTAGGCCCGGGCGATACCCCAAGTTACTGCATTATTTCCATGACAAAAATCCTTATTAATATTTAATTTTTGTTGAATGACATGTAATATGGTAATAGCTTAGTGACTAATACGTTGAAATTTAAAATTGAGGTTGTGGGTTCAAATCTTAAGAATCATATTTTTAGACGTGGAGTGAAAATTGGATTAAATGAGGAGTGCGCCATGTGGCACCTAAACTTCTTTAGGAACGCCTTGAAGAAAGCGCCACGTGGCATCTAAACTTATATAGGAACGTCTTTTAATATATAGTATAGATTGTTTGATATTGTACGTGTAATGGTAATTTATTTGCCTACTATACTACGACTAATTCGGATTTGTACACTTAATGGTACGTCTTGTTATATTATTCTTAATGCTCGAACCCAAGAACCTTACCTAAGCTGGAATATTCTGTTTGTGTTGTATGGGACGGGTACCCGTACCATTAATACTAACTAGAACATTTGCTTACACTAGATAAACACAGTCTAAAAGTACTGTATTGTTTATGAGTGAAGTGGACAATTTGGGAGGCAGGAGAAGTTAGTTTACCAAAGATCTGGGATTCACAATAAATTTTGGTTGAATTAGTCTATGTTTGCTAGCTAATAGTTCGAGCTAGAACATTTGCTTACACTAGATTTCAAACTCAGAAAATTTTAAGTTCAACCCATGAATTTGAGAATTATCCACACAAATACAGAGTAACCCTTTGTACCCGTGAGAATTTTATTGTAGTCTTTTATAATGTTTTATTGATCAAATAGTTTATAGTAGACATATTTTTTTTCAAGTAATTAATTATATTAATGCTCTCCATTAACTATTACTAAAGTAGAAAATTGCTGACATCATCCTCTCCTCAAATTGTATACATGTCGCTCTCTCATAAAAAATTTTCCCGCCTAATACACTTATGATGTCATATATATTTTTGAGTTTTTTTAAAAGAATTGGTTATTTTTAATCATTTTTATTTCAATATTTGACTGTGTCAATAAATAAATAAATAATATTTTTGGTTGGAATAAATAAAATTGATATTGAGCTAAAATATTTTAGGTAACTACGACAATTTTATAAATTTTTTGTAAGGTTTTTCTATTATTTATGTGTCTGTAAAATAAGGAGTGTGCAAGCAACCTAGCTATGAAGTCACATAATTATATACGGATGTTTGTTATACAAAAATGAACTAATGTTGTCGTTAAATGTTACCATTGTTTTGCGTATTTTCAAGGTGCTTCAACTTATTTATTTATTTATTTATTTATTTATTTTATTATATAGCTTCAACTTATTTAAGTTACATTTATTTTTAATTTGTATTTGGAACTAATATATAAATTCATAAGCATATGGTTTGATTAGATCAGATTGACTTTCATTTTTATATTTTGTTACTAAGTAATTTATGATGAAAGATACTTCGTATGTTCTTATGATCTAATTTATAAGTATACACGGGGAAATAATAAATAGAAACAATTTATTTCATACTAATAATTTTTTCAATCCGTGCATTGCACGGGTCTAATCTGTAGATTGTATTATCAACATTTTTTTTTATTTATCAAATTTTTAGTTTTATTTATGAAATTTTTATTCTTACTGTATAGTTTCTCAAAAAATATTTATTTTATGTTGGATTAAAATGTTCAAATTCTATATATTTACATTGTAGATATTATAAGACTAATTGTGACCATTTTATGACGTAAAAAAAATGAATCGATCATATTATATATATCATTAAAATAATATGGTAGTCATTATTCAAATGACTGATGTAAAATCGTCCTTGTACCCGTAATTCACGTGTCCTAAATATCTCTTATATATAAAACCCTAGCCTCCTCTCTCTCCCTTCTCTCTCCTAAACTTTAGCCTCCATTGTCAATTTTGAAGGGGCTTCCATCGGATTTCACTGGTGAAAAGCCCCAATCTTTATTTACCTTTAAGTTTTTTGTTTCTTAGGTTACAATAATGTCTCCCTCGAAAGAAAGATTTTATCTCCTTCGAAAGACAAAGTTTTTTCGATCTCCTTCGAAAGACAAGGTTTTTCGGACTCCTTCGAAAGACAAGGTTTCATTTGTGTTTAATTTGGTCTCTGGTTGTGCGGGGCTACTATTGATTATGGCTCGGATTCGGGTTACAGAATCAACACAAGAATTTACTTTCTCACAAAATTATGAAGCGGCGACAGATCCACTCAAAAAGTTGTATGCGGCAACGAACCGAGAATGTGCCGAATTGTTATATTCATGTATTTGGATTCTTAGCCCTTCCCCGATTAATTCTTGTTTGATTTTGTTAAATTCGTTTTCATTATCGTTAATTGTCAATTATAAATGACGTATGGCTATCATTAATGAAAATTAATGTCCTTTAGGAATTCTTTCAAAAAAAAAAATAAATCTCTTATATATGTAGACATGCTCACAAAGGGAATAAAGTTACACCATTATCCACCAACCATACTCTAACAATGTATTAATACATAGTATTAGTGCGAAACAACAAACAACAAACTACCACAAACCAACTCTTATACAGAGTACAATTTACAAATGAGGGAAGGGGATTCCAACCTTTGACCTATTGTACAATTGTACAGATACCAAATTACCAATACCCTCAGTTTTTGCAACTTAGATCTATTAGTTAGTCAAAAAATGGTTTGACTCATAAACCCATTAATTGTTAAACCTTGATGAGGCAACAACCTATGTTGGTCTTTCAAAAAAAAAAAAAAAAAAAAAAAAAAAAAAAAAAAAAATCTTAATTTATGAGCAGAATATTTGCAGAATCTTGAACCTAAAACTTTTAGTCCAAACTCAATGCATTATTATTATGACAAAGCTAATTTGATGTTATATATTGCATTAAAATTGTATTTAACATATAAATTTACACATTTACTTAAATAAAAAAATAAAAAAAAATGGGGGGAAGGGGCTGGTGCCACCCAGGCCCCTTCATAGATCCGCCAATGTACACATGTAATTGACATTATATTCAACATAGTAACTCCTAATTTTGATATAGTAACTCCTAATTTTGATATAGTAATCTTATTTTTAACATAGTAACTGTTAATGCAAAAAATTAAAATCGTCAAGGAACGACGTAAGGCTGGGACGTCGACGGCTAGACAAACTATGCTATGAATAAACAAAATGGGGGATAATAAAGATGAACAAACGATATTTTGATGACGCAGAAAACCCAATGAAGTGGGAAAAACTGCGGGTGGTAGAAATCCATCGATTGCACTATGAATAATCAATTGTTACAATGAGAGCTTAGAGAATACTTGAGAGAGTACCGTGTGTTCTACATCTAAAATAAAAATCTATTTATAAAGGAGGAATTGGCAGTCTAGGTCTTCAAAGTAGCCGTTGAGAGAAGATAATTATCTTCCCCTGAATCTAGGAAGTCAGTTGATTGACCCGTTCTTCTGATTCATTGAGCACAAGCAACGACCTTATCTTGTTTTAAACACTGAACTATTTGAACTGCAGAATTAATCAAATAAATCCCTGGATTGCAGGGACGTTAGTTATGAACTCGGGATGACGCTTCTATACGACGCCTAGGTCTAAGACGCGTCATGAAAATTCTGCACTAACAATTTGCCCCTGATTGATGCTTTGGATTCCTCGAGCTTCGGAGTAACAATCTTACTCTGCCAACTCAGCGCATTACCCTGAATTTTCTGGCCGTTACTTTAGCTTGTCCAATTTTTTAACTTCCACGATGTATCACAATTCCCCATTTTCTTTTGGTGAAATAGCTTCCAACTGTCCCTTACAAATTCTGAGCAATTACTTTCCCCAATTCACTTTAAGCTTTTTCAAAAAATTTCAAATTTTTCGAGCTCTTTCAAGTCAAAGAATTCCGGTGCTCTTGAAGCTTTTTTTGGTACGATCTCCGTACTTTTAACCAGGTAATTTCTTCAACTTTGACTTTCAATTTCTTTATTTTCTTGTTTTGAGATGAAAGGGGGTAGTTCTAGATCTAGGTTTTCACTTAGAATTTTCGAGAAATCTAGGGATTTACCTATTGAAACTATGGCGACGCTTGAGAATCCTGCAAGGACAATTATTGAAGAGGAACTTCCATCCTTTTCTTCCATGTCGGGCTCCCCTGAGAGTGCCTTAATGGTATTCCCTTCAAAGGACAAATGTCCTGAAGATTGTCCTGAAGGCCACATTGTCTTTTATGAGTATCCCTTTAAACTGTGGTTTAAATTTCAGTTCGATTCCTTGACTCGTTCTTTCATGGAGGTGCTCGACCTGAGCCCAGGGTAAGTGATGCCCCTAGTCTAGAGAGTTGCCCAAGTGATCGCAAAAGTGACTGAAGGTTAGGAAGATCCCTTTAATCTTTCCGACCTGGCTCACGTATACAAAATCCATGTTGAAGCTTCATTCTAACTGATGTACCCTTCACGTGGGACGTGGTCGTTCTGCCCTAGTTGGGAAATTGAACGCCAATGATCGTGGATGGAAGATACGTTATGTGTTTGTTGACAGGGAGACCTTAGGGAAGACGCTCAATGGAAAAGGACTGGGTGGCGTGGCGGAGGTATACTTCACTTTTTCTTTGTCGTTTGCTGGTATTTGTGGTTGACAATTCTCTTATATGCTTCATTTTGCAGTGATTGACGTGAGCGCTGTCGCCGTTGGAGATAAGAGTGACGACAAGGTGAGAGCTTTTCTGAGTGTTCCACTGAAGGACAAGACGTTCCCTTGCATTGGCACAGAAGTTTCAGAACGATCAAGCTCTGATACGGAGGAGGACGTGAGAATTCTTGACGATACCACAACTATGGCTTCAGGTGACGCCTCATTTTATTGTGCTTTTCTTTAAAGGTTTTAACTTTCCCTGACCCTTTGGTTTCTTCCAGACGCTGCTCATTCGTCCAAGACCCGAGTTAGTTCCATGACTATGAGTGAGATGATTGAGAGGGCTACGAAGAAAAGGAAGCAAACGGCTGGTGCTTCTACTGCCCCTAAGGTGGTCATTGACGCGAAACCCCTTAACGTCCAGATTCCTGGTAAGAATCCTGAGGACAAGAAAGTTCCCAACGTCCGTACTTCTTCTGCCAAAGAGAAGCAAATCAAAGAGGAAGAATATGAGGTTAGGGTCCCTGTCAGTTTTCTGTCTAGGGACCCAAATGCTGTGCCGCTATGGCCTACCATAGAAAAACTGTTTTTCTCTTCTACTAAGCGTTTAAGTCAATTCAAACCTCCCGAAATAGTCGGTGAAGCTATCAACCTACAACTGAATGTAAGAAGCTTGTTCTTCTTTCCTGTCTTCTATTTATATGTATCATGCATCTTATGACGTTAATTTGATTTTGTAGGCTTTTCAGGATCTACTGGCCATTCGAGGCCATTTTATTTCAAATGAAAAGGAGCCGGGCACTGTCAAGAATGCACTTATTGCTACAAGAGGAGAAACTCGTACTAGCAATGAGGAGTTAGCCAAAGTAAAGCGTTCATTAGACACTGCTCAAAAAGTACTTGGGGAGAAAAACAATGAAATTGCAGGTTTGAATACAAACGTTAACGAGCTGAACTAGAGAATTGCTGACCTGACTAAGAACATCTCTGAGTTAGAGAAAGAGCTAAATGACGTCCAAGAGGACGCTAAGGACTCCAAGTGTTTGAAACAACTAACTGGGTGGGCCAAGGTTTTGAAACTCTTCTTGGCTGATCGTTTGACTAAGGAGGATGCTTAGAGGGAGATTGGTGACTACCTTCAGTCCTTGGGCACCGCGACTGACATCAAATCTGAGTCCGAGAAAGAAGCTGAGGAGGCCAAGTCTACAGCTTAGTCGGTGCCGACCGATGTCCAGAACCTGTCTTCTACCTTGGTTGAGACCCCAACTCCGAATGTTGAGCAAGTTCAGGATGTTGATGAGGACATTGTTCAGGATGCTTAACTGCTGGGGTCTTTTTCTTTCAATGTTCTTCTTAATCTGTGTTTTTAAATCTGTGAACTTTCGTATTTTGTGTTTTGGGCGCCTATAGGGAATATTTCAAGCATTATCCTTAGCTTGAACCCCACTGTGATCATACACTAAAGTACGGTAGCATCCAAAGGGAAAGAAGATAGAGCAAAAGAATCGCCAACAAGTTTCTTTTAGGAACTTATAAACCGTTCATGAGGTGAAGGTTACACCCCTTAACGATCCAGGAGATTGTCAACTCCAATAGGTCTTGAACCATGACTGGTAGTTCGGGGATGAAGGTACAAATCCAACCTAAAAGAGATTGAACTTGTCCTAATAATAGGCCTCTACTTTATTTTGATCGTACTCATGTGCGCTTTCTGACTAACATGCAATCAATAGGTTTAGCCCTAAACCTGTTGATCTATGTTGGTTGAATATTAATGCACAAATAAATCTATTATTGGCGATCACTTGAATTATAATCATATTAACCCTAAACAAGATTATTAATTATCTTATTAAGCGTGATTACAAGTACCAATTCCCTTTAAACATGTATAAAAGGCGTGATCAAGCAATAACAATAAATAAAATCAAGCAACATAATAATCAATGAAAATAAATCATTATAATTAATCATAATCATTATCATATTAAAGCATAATAATAGAAAGTTCCTAGGCATGATACTAACAAGATTAATAACAAACCCTAGCATGTCACTAAACAATAAATATTAAAACTTTTAGCCCTAACATAAATATTAGGAAAGAAAATAGGAGGCATCGCAGGAATCACAATTGTCATATTAAATATTAGAAATTATAGTTGTTACCCTAAACATGATACTAGGAAGATCAAAACATCCTAACATGAAACTAGGAATCAAAACAACAACCTAGACATGATTTGTATATCATAATATCAATAAATCAATTAAAGCACTTACTTGGATGCCTCGTATCTCTTTCTAATAACAAAATACACGCGTTAGTAACTTCAAGGAAAATAATAACCAAACAATTAAATTAAATAATTGAAAGAGATATTTGGGACCAAACCCTCAGAAATTAAAACCTTTCACATCTAGGGCGAAGGCAACTTCGAACCTGGATAGGTGTTTCCAGTGCTAATGTATGAGGAATTTTGTATTTGAGAAAAGGATAGTTTAGAAAAGAGAGAGAGAGTAATCAAGAAGTTCTTGATGAGAATTGATAATGGAAAATGGAGGTTTTAGGAGGCTATTTATAGAGAAAATTGGCCGGATATGATAAAAAACGAATCAGAGTTTTGAAAAGAATAAAACACGACCGCAACGCCAAACACGCGCCTATCGCGAGACGCCAGGTTTTTGCGGATTTTGTTTTTATCATATCTTTTGATCCAGAACTCTAAATAAGTCATATAATATGTCGTTGGAAAGCTCTTGAAGTCTAATTTCAAACCCATTTATAACTAGTTTATAATCGTTTGTATATAAAACGATATGGCCAAAATAGTGGAAGGGTGTCAGTTTAAGATAGAGTTTCATATCTTATTCATATCTTTTTCGTTATAGCTCGGATTTAATATTATAATATATCATTGGAAAGATAATTTCAAGATCTATCCAATCATATAAAATTTGGATAAATATTATGAGGCACGAAAATAATATTTGAATATTTTCCACTTTGAACAAAACAAGGATTCTTAAAAGGAGTAGTTTTATTCAATTTCAAACTCTTTGAAACATAATTATCAATCCTAACTCCATTAGTATTTAAGAGAACCTTCTAGAATATTCTAAAAGACTATAATAAATCCTAATAGCTTTAGGAATGATAATTAATAATAGGCCCTCCTCCAAATCATTGGGCCGTAGGTAAAATCACGTTTGAGCCTAGTTTAGTATTTTGGTCATAACTTCCTCATTATGCATTGGAATTGGGCTTATAATATATTGTTGGAAAGTTCTTTTCAAGCCCCATCCAACTACACCATTATTGGACCCTTATCATGGACCAAACTAAACAAGACTGCACGTTTTTCATAAATAAGGTAAGAAAAGAAATATTTTCAAAAACAGAAATCATCACTAGACTTTTCACACTTTCACTTTATTCGATAATTAAATGACATGAAATGTATTCATCACTGAGTTTGGTTTTGGGGAGACACCTTTGGGTGTCTACAAAAGCCCCCACTTTGACTGAGTTTGGAGAAACACAAGTTTCGGAAACAAAAGTCAAAGTAGCGATAGGGATGGAGAATGATTCGGAACGTTTTGCGATCCTAAATAATTCTTGTAACGCCGATACCTTCAAAACTAGTATTAGTTAAAACAGATAAGAGAGTTAAAGAAACGCGTATCTTGCACCGTCGAGCACACGTCTCTGGGGTAACCGATTTGTTGCTGCATTGCTGTTGTTGACAACCTTCCACAAGCTAGGGAACGCTATCAAAGATAACTTCTCTTGAAATCACCTCCAGTTGTTTGTGACAACCCTCCACAAGCTAGGGAATTCCGTTGATCAACGCTGCTACATCTCGAACCTTTTCCTTGAATCATCACAAACCCCTCTTCAAATCTCGGTGACAACCTCCATAATCTTAGCGAATGCTGTCGAAGACCGCCCATCTCGTGCTATCTTCTCAAATCTTGGTGACAACCTCCATAATCTTAGCGAATGCCGTCGAAGACCGCCCATCTCGTGCTATCTTCTCAAATCTTGGTGACAACCTCCCCAATCTTAGCGAAGTGCTGTCGAAGACCGCCCATCTCGTGCTACCTTCTCAAATCTTGGTGACAACCTCCACAATCTTAGCGAATGCTGTCGAAAATAACTTTACTTGAAGTCATCCTCAATTGTTGCAATAATATTCCAAAGAAAATTACCAAAGACCAACGTTTGTCGATCTTTAGAGCTTGCTTGAACTTTGCTTTAGCCGGTGCGTCGGCGCTTCCGCTGCTTGTAAACCGGTATGTCGGTGCTTTGAATTGTGAACATGTATGTCGATGCTTCTGTTGTTTATAAACCACTATGTTGGTGCCTTCGCGATGAGCCAATGTTTAGGCGCTTTAAGCTAAGTGAGACAATTTTTCGCCAGGTCGATCACTTATTTGCGATTGTAATCAAACCGACTACTCAATCATGTCAAATTGCTTATAGGGGCTACCTGGCGTACCAAGGAACCCGAAGTTGCTGTACGAGGTCGAACTAACCGTTCTGAGTGGCTTAGAGCTCTATCGCCGCTGCAATGCCTCTAGCGCCGCGATTTTGCTCTGTCGCCAGGCGACAGATGTTGGCGCCAGGCGCCAGCCTTGTCATCTGGCGCTGGAGTCGGGTCTTCCCTATTTTGCTCTTGCTGCTGCTATTGCTCGGTTTCGCTCCGAACTTTGAACTTAGTCGTTTCCTTTCACCCAAATCCGCTCAAATCTTTTGTAAATTAAAGCTCTTCATCTCTAATTTACTGATCTATGTAATTTTGCTCAAATTCTTCTCATCTTGGAAGAATCCCTTGTGCCATATTTGCGGGTTTTTTTTTTGAAAAAATCCGGGAATGTTCTTGCTTGCTGGGATGTAGTGCATTTATATCTTTGACTATAGGACTTTGCTCATGCAATTAGGGTTGACCTTAGACTTAGTGTTTCTTGACTCATTGACTTGACATGACTCAAGGTATGATGACTCACTTCATGTGACTCGTGTGTGTATAGTGTTGACTCAATGTGTACATGACTCGTGTGTGCATTTGTAATATGATCGTGCGACTCGAAAATGCAAAAAAGCAAAAATTTTCCGTCATTTTTGTGGAGGGTACCGACTTTCTCCCGAAAAAGAAAGACGCGAAAAATAATCAAAGTTTTTGAAGGTGCATGTTGAATGAGCTTAGTCAAATGTTTTGCAATGGATTAATTCATCTTGGGCTATCTCAATTGTTGACTCCATGATGAAATTATTAGGGTAACTTAAGCACGGAGGCTAAGCACTTCGTACTTTGTGATGCAATGATGAGTGATGAGCGATTTTGACATGACAAGGCATGCTTCAGCTTTATGTTAAGATTTCATGACAAAGGGTTCCTAAGGGAAAATATATTTGGTCATGTATCTGTGCGATGTGTGAAAGTGATACTAAAGTTAGGCCGCAAGGGCTAAGTGTGTGGGAAAAATACTATTTTAAGAAGAGTCAAATGATGGTGACTCTTAGGATAGGTAAGTTAATGATGTAGGGATCAAGCCCTCAAGTCTAGCTCTAAGTAGATAGAGATGAGCATTGGAGATCCCTTGATATGATCATGATGTGTGAATGTGAATATGAATGCATGTTTATTACGGATGCAGCTCGATGTGAGGCTGCCTACGTATCCGTTAGGAATCAGGCCGAACGTAGCTTTAGCCAAACCTCGCACAAGTGTGTGTATACCTCAAAAATGTCTTTTGAAGGGTTGTAACGAGGTTAGTCTAAAGGTTTGAAGAAGAAGGGGATAAAGGCTCAAGACCCTAGATAAGCCCCCAAGGTGTGCAACCTTGCTTTTGAATCTTTATATTTTTATGCTTGAGGCTTTTAACTTTTTTTTAGCTCTCTTTTTTCTTTTTTTTTGTTTATATTTTTCTCTCTCTTTTGCTTTAGCATTTATTTTATTTTTATAAGTGTGGGAAATCCCGATCATGCGATCTATCACTCACTTGGCATTCATGTTTCTCAGGCACGGTTCCGAGCACTCGATAAGATACGCAATCTGAGACGTGTTCGTATCAAAGATATTTTCATATCAAAGACATTGGAACACTTGCCCTTTTGTACACTTTTATTTATTTTTTGCTTATTTTTTGCTATTTTAATCTTTTGAAATCACTCAAGCTTTTTATGAAATTGAAAATTGCATAAGTTGTACACCATCCCATCCCATAGTTAGGTAGATATGGGTTGAAAAATGAAGGGTCTATCGTTAGACGAGGCTCAAAGTGGTTTATAAAAAAGGATTGTATATTTGAAAGGTGAGAGGTAAAATGATGTGGCTACAAGGGGTGCCTCAAATCATTGGTATATCTTGTGCTTAGTTTGACATGGAATTTTTTTTTTTTTAATTCAATGTAATGAAATGATCATATGCAAGAAAATAAATGCTCATTTTTATTAAAGGAAAAAAAT